TAGCAGAAGGGAAAGAGTTTCCCTGGGACAATAAAGCCACAAGATCTGTGCACAGTGATTGCAAAAATCACTGAAATTCATGCCATCCTTATCCCAGGTTGAGAGTCTACCCATTAGAAAGTGGTAATTACCCAGACAAAAAGTTTCAAATGAAACTTGGGACTAAAGGTAGAGCTTCCCCTACTCTCATTCCAGAACATTCTTCTTCTTGTTCTGTTTTTCGTTTTCATTTTTGGTTTTTTTGCAATGAGACTACTGCATCTTCCTCAAGCTTCTCGTCTTGGCAAATGTCCCAGCACCGCTCAGGAGCCCTGTGTCAGCAGAGCATCTGCAGCCCAGCGGCGTGTTTGGGGACAGCCTGCAGAGGCCTGGAGATCACAGTGCCTCTGCTGCACAGAGGTATGTGCCCGAGTGGCTGGACTGGGATGCTGTGATACACAGGGAACTTTGCTGCTTTTTCTCATCTAACGTGGCAGTGATTTCTTCATGATTCTTTTCTTCCCCATTTTTCTATAATATCATCAAGGAGATTAGACCTTCACTATTCTTTTGCCTGTACCAGTGTAGGGCATACACAGGCTTTGATGAACTGCAGTTTATGGTGAAATCTTCTCCTTCTTGGATGATCAGGAACTGTGGACTCTGCTCCAGTTCTTGGCTACTGACCCCTGTTCAAAAAGACAATGTAAAGAAAATGCAGGTGACCACATAAGATCTTCATGCTCATTATAGGGATGCTTTTTCTCCGCCCCCCTCTTCACTTCACAGCAACATTATCACATCCACACAGAATATTGTCTATCTTTTCAGCATGTATCTGGCTCTCAAATGGACAACCCCAGGACAGAAGATGACTCAGTCCTTGCCCTCAGGGAGTCGTCAGCCTCTCCTGACTCTCCTAGACTAACCCCATACTTACAGGCTGCCTGCAATTCTAATATCCCTATGAGTACTTGCAAGAGAGTCTCCATCCTCTGGTTCCTCAGAAGACAGCCCAATCCAGCATTCTCGAGTGAGCTTCCCCAGCTCAGTGGGGTCTCACTGGTGCAGCACACTGCACCAATCAGAGAGACCAGACCTGGTTTCCTGTTCCTCCAGCACTGCAAACCTAAACTCAAATACTTTTGAACACTGCCACCTTTTGGCCAGGCTGAGAAATACTGAATAATGGATGACGTCTAGAATTAATTTATATACATGAGGTACGTTTATTTATTGCAACGAGTATGGTATTTATTATCGGATATCAAAAATATCTTGTTACTTTTGCATGCTTGAAACAGTTTCCCCTTTGTAATTAAAAGAAAGTGAGTACTGATTTTTTAAAAACCCACTTTATTGAGATATGATTGACATACAAAATGCTGTATATATTTAATGTATATGACTAGATGAGTTTGGAGACAAGTCTATTTTTGTGAACCTATCATCACAATTAATGCCATTCTCCTCCAAAGTTTTCCTCCTACTATCTATTTTTAAAATTTTATTTTTTGTGATAGGAACCCTTAACACAGGATCTACACTCTTAGCAAATTTTATTTTAAAGATTTTATTTTTTTTTAAGTAATCTCTATACCCGACGTGGGACTCAAACCTACAACCACAAGATCAAGAGTTGCATGCTTTACTGAACTGAGCCAGCCAGGTGCCCCTGCAAATTTTAAAGTATACAATACAATATTGTTAACTGGGGTACCTGGGTGGCTCAGTCGTTAAGCATCTGCCTTCGGCTCATGTCATGATCCCAGAGTCCAGGGATTGAGCCCTGCATCGGGCTCCCTGCTCAGGGGGAAGCCTGCTTCTCCCTCTCCCACTCCCCCTGCTTGTGTTCCCTCTCTCTGTGTGTCTCTCTGTCAAATAAATAAATAAAATCTTTAAATCAAAAAATAATATTGTTAACTATCGGCACTGTGCTGTACAGTAGATCTCTAGCATATATTCATCTTGCATAATTGAAACTTTATACCCTTTGACCAACATCTCCCCATTTCTCCTCCCCCCAACCCCAGTAACCACCATTCTATCCTTTGCTACTATGAATTTGACTATTTTAGATTCGTCATATAAGGGGATCATGTAGTATTTGCTCTTCTGTGTTTGGCTTACTTCAGTTAGCATGTTTTCCAGGTTCATCCATGTTGTCACAAATGGCAGGATTTTCTTCCTTTTTTTAAAGGCTGAATCATATTCTACTGTATGTAAACACTACATTTTCCTTATCCATTCATCTGTCAATGGACATTTAGGTTGCTAACATGTCTTGGCTATTGTGAATAATGCTGCAATGAATATGGGAATACAGATATCTTTGAGATCTTGATTTCAATTCCTTTGTTTATATACCCAGAAATGGGGTTGCTAGATTATATGGTAATTCTATTTTTAATTTGTGTAGATTTTTGAAATCTTATGTCATGTATCTTTTGTGTCATAATTAATTAATCTTTGCCAAACCCATGGTATCTAAGATTTTCCCCAATGTTTTATTCTAGAAGCTCATAGTTTTAGCCCTCTCATTTAGATGTCTGATCTATTTGGAGTCAAATTTTTATACAATGTGAGCTAGGGGTTAAAGTTTATATTTTTGAATATGGCTGTCAACTGTTCAAGCATGATTTGTTGAAAAGATTATTTTTTTCTCATTGAATTGTTATGGTACTTTTATTGAAAATCAACTGATTTTATATGTGTGAGTCTGTTTCTGAACCTTTTATTCTGTTCCAATGTTATATTTGTCTATCTTTACATCAATCCTATAATTTCTCAATTATATCTTCATAAAAACAATTTAGTGTCAGTAGTGTTAGTTCCTCAAATTTGTTAGTCCTTTCAAAATATTTTTACTAACATAGTCCTTTTTACTTTTCATGCATATCTGACAATCATTTTGTCAATTTCTACAGAACTTTCTACTGGGATTTTTATTGGTATTACATTGAATATATAAATCAATGTGGAGAGAATTAACATTTTGTTTTATTTTTTTAAAGATTTATTTATTTATTTTAGGGAGAGAAAGAGAGAATGAGCAGGAGGGGAAGAGGGAGAGGGAGAGAGAATCTTAAGCAGACTCTGCGCTGAGCGGGGAGCTGGGGGTGGGGCTTAATCTCATGACCCTGAGATCATGACCTGAGCTGAAACCAAGAGTCAGATGCTCAACCGACTACACCACTCAGGTGCCCCAAGAACTAACATTTTAATATGGGTCTTCTAATCTGTGAACACAATGGGTAAAGAAACGTCTCACAATCCTGGAGTCTGGAAGTCCAAAATCAAGATGTCAGTGGATTATTTCCTTCTGAGGGCTGTGAGGGAAGGATATGTTCCAGGCCTCTCTCCTGGGATTGTAGACTCATTACTCTGATCTCAGCCTTCACGTTTATAAGGTGTTCGCCTTGTGTGTGTCTGTCTCCATTTTTTTCTCTTTTTTTAAGGATAGAAGTCATGTTGGATGGGGGCCCACCATAATGATCTGATTTTAGCTTGATTACCTCTGTAAAGACCCTATTTCCAAATAAGGTCATATTCTGAAGTTCTGGAGGTTAGGACTGCAATGTGTGTGTGTGTGTGTGTGTGTGTGTGTGTGATGTATGTGTTGGGGGGGCACAATTCAACCCATAACAAACAGTAAGGTTTTCCTTAATCACTAAGTCTGTTACTCTTTGATTTTTAAATTCAACTTGTACATTTTCCTTTCTACAGTAAAGTGCAGAATTGAGGAGTCTTTTATTATTATTATTATTATTATTATTTTAATTTTATTATGTTATGTTAGTCACCATACAATACATCATTAGTTTTTGATGTGGTGATTCATGATCCATTGTTTTCGTATAACACCCAGTGCTCCATGCAGTGCGTGGCCTCCTTAATACCCATCACCAGGCTAACCAATCCCCCCTCCCCCCACCAAAACCCTGTTTGTTTCTCAGAGTCCATAGTCTCTCATGAGTCTATCATTTTGATCGAGAGTCCTGGCTCCCCTTGTCAAATATCTAAACCTAGCAGAGCTCCCAAGTCTCTCTCTCAGGCTGATTAAAATATGTCCTTGATTAGAAGACAATGTAAGAATTTCGATTTATCAACTTGGAATACATAAAGTCTTCCTAGAAGGCTTAGATTTGACAATATAAAAGTAAAAATATCCCTGATAATCGTTGAATAAACAAACTTAAAAGACATAGTATATTTGGAATAAGTATGTATAATATATGTAAGAGGCCAAGTAATGTTCATTTTATTAAAATAATTTTTACAAATAAACAAGAAAAAGACAGTCTTTAAAAGTGCAAACATACAGGGTAAGTTGTTCAACTGCCCTCATAATTAGGAAAATGCAAATGAAACCAACAAAATACTTTCAAGTTGCCTAAAATCTAAAAAAGACTGATAATAGTGTTAACCAAGATTCAGGGAAATAGGTTTCCCATACGCTGTGTTTGCAGTGTAGATTGTTGAGTCATTTTGGAAGGCAACTTGTCAATACCTGTAAAAATATAACATTAGGCATATCCTTTGACCCAGCGATTTCACCTCTAAGAATTCATCCATATATAAATATATGTATATAAATCATGTCTATATATATTTGTTGATTTGTGATTCTGATTATGTGAACTAAGAGAAGTAAAAAATTTAAATATTATTAGGAAGTATGCAGGTTAATGACATTTTTATACAAGCATATGACGAAGTCCATATGTACATGTGTATGCCTATGAACATATACCAAAAATACATTTTTAGAGGTGCCGGGGCAGCTCAGTTGGCTGAGTATTAGACTTTTGATTTTGGCTCAGGTCATGATCCCTGGGTTATGAGATCGAGCTCCATGTCAAGCTCCAGCCTCAGCAGGGAGCCTGCTCGAGATGTTCTCTCTCCCTCTCCCTCAGTCCCTCTTGCGGCTTGCATGCTCTTTCTCTCTCTTCCTAAATAAATAAATAAAATCTTAAAAAAATACATTTTTAAATAAAAAAATGAATACAAGCTGCAGAAAAATACACCTGATACGATCCAATTTCATGTAAGAAAATTGGGTGTTTATATGAGCACCCTTATAAATGAAAAAGAATGTGATTGTCAAGACACACTCCAAACTGTCAAAATGGGTTATCATAGGAATTGAAAAGGAAACGGAGAGGAGGCGGGGAGAGTCCGATTGGGCTTTCAGGCTTTACTCTACATCCTTACGTAATAACTTGAGTCTTTTACAATGAGAAAAGATTTGCGTGGGTTTTTTTGTGTGTGTGTGTGTGTAATAATATTTCAACATCAATTCTAAAAATGAAATGAATATCCACATATGTGTCCCTTATTTATCGCATCCCCCAAATTGTCTGTATCTCAATGATGTGTGTGCTACAGTAAGCAAATTTTTTTCAAGGGCAAACAAATCAGTTTCTGAAATTCATCCCCAATTTTGAGGAGTTGGAAGGACTAATATGATGCAATATCCAGAGCCTGGGCACCTCTTCGGGTCTGAATGAAGAAAGTCTTTGGGACAACCCCATGGTTGTTCTCACCTATTTTAAGGAGATCTATATAGAAAGCAACATTTGACAAAGAGCTAGGGCAAATTCTCATTTCCTTTTCCCTTTATCGCAGGTTTACAATTGTGTCTCTTAGTTTCCTTGCGAACTTTTTAGTCCCTCCTTTTAATAACGTGAGCTCTTCTTCATCCTCTGTCCCTTTTATTCTTTCCTCTTTGACTCCCTCACTATCTTCTCTTTACTTCTTTCCCCTTTCCTCCTTTACTTCTCCTCTATTGGGCTCCTGCTCATTCTTGCGCAGTGGCCTCAGGAGATGGCAGGTGCTGCTTCCCTTCCCCCACCAGGCAGATCTTGTACGGGGGTGGCGCCATCTGTCCCAGGGTGCTTCTCTCACCATGCAGTAGTACACGGCAGCATGTCCCAGGGTAACCCGGGGCAGAATCAAGGTACTGGACTCTCTAGCTGTTGTGATGATCAGAGTGGCCATTCCATTTGTCACAGTGCCTTTTAGACCATGAATCATGTACTCCGGACCCTGGTTGGGAATCTGTCGATACCAGTATATGTACTCATTTTCACTGATTGTGGAGTGGTTACAAGGCAGGTGGACAGGTTCTTCTTCAGTACTCTCCATTGCATTTGTCTGTGTGGTCTTAGCATCGCTCATAATACCTGAGGGGTTGAGAAACAATAGATGAGCTCTGGTTGGTCAAATGTGGGTACCTCTAAGGTCAAGGTTCACAATCACTCCCAGAACTCTCCTTTCTGGTCTTACCCCAAAACAAGAGCATTTTTGTGTGTGTTACACAGGGCAAGAGAAATATTACTGGTATTTATTATTGAGCCATCCAGAGCCACAAGGCCAAAGATAAATTTCTGTGTTCCACGACCATCGGGCTCAATGAACTCAAACCTCCTTACAAAGCCTGAGGGCTGTGAGACTCAGGAGATCTTCTGTGAATAGTGGATATGATCAGCCCCTCACAATGATACTCAGACTCTCTAGAGAAACACATAGACACACAGAAAAGTGTGTCTTTTTCCCAGCAGTGGAAGAAGGAGAAGTAGCAGATACCTGCTTTTTGTCTCTAGCTATAAAAGTCATCCTTATTAGACCCAGATCACTTACCTAAAGTTAGGAGAATAGTGATTCCTGTTAGTGATCTCATAGTTCCAGTGCACACTGGGGTCCCAGTGCTCAGAGCTCAGAGTTTGCATCTTAACCCAGGTTGGGGGAGGTCCCAGCAACAGCATAGTAGCCACTCACACAGCTCTATATCAGGCAGCTTTCAATCTGGGTGTTGTTCCCCAGCCAAGCATCGGCGAGGGATGGAGCAATCTCTTGAGTGGGTCTACTCCCACTTGTAGGGTTAAACACAAAATTTGAAAAGAGAGCTAAGAATGTTTTCCCGGTGTCTAGCCCTCATTCAGAGGGTTTATGCTGAGATCCTTTTCAAGGTTCAAACTCAGATAGGCTACATCTGAGTGAATCTGAATGAGCAAAATCATCCCCAAGGAGATTATCATCTCTCATTTTGGTACAAGTCAAAACCCACCACTAATTGGTGGCTTGATGTTCCATTGAGTTGGTATGAAATGTCCTTTAATCCAAGAAACCTATGTTGAGCCCTGGACTGCAAAGGGAAGTAGAGAATTCCTATCCATATTCCCACCCACAGCAAGTACATCTCAAGGCAGTAATAGACAACGTAACTTCAAAAGTTAGAGACGTCTTTTTGTTAAAAAAAAAAGATGATCATATTGGATGAGTTAAACATTCAATAAGAAGAAAATATTTGCAACTCTGTGACAAAAATAACTTCATAGCTGAATAATACTACTGTGTTCAGTTTAATAGGAAAAGGTAAAACTGGAATCCTGTCTAAAAGCCAAGGTGCCTGGTATTCAGGTCTCCCATGTTGGCTCTGGGAACGATGTTTTAAGCATCTTCCAGATGGGCATTGTTGGATGCCTCTGGTCTTGATACAGGAACCAATGACTTGAGTGGTACTTATTCCTATCCCACCTGAGCCCCTCTTTAACACATATTTTCTCATCTCCATACCCATGCCTAGTGGTGGCATGCATTAAGGCCACTAAAAAGAAAGAAGAAATGAGAAGAGATTATTTGAAATGAAGCCATTTTCCAAGAGAGGTGGAAATAGACATAAAAGAGTTTACCTGTTTATTCTCAAAAATGGTTGTTATTAAGGCAATGGGATAGAACAAAATTAAAATTACTCATCCTTGGGTATTATGCTGAGCAAAATAAGTCAATCGGAGAAAAACATGTATCATATGATCTCACTGATATGAGGAATTCTTAATCTCAGGAAACAAACTGATGGTTGCTGGAGTGGTGGTGGGTGGGAGGGATGGAGTGGCTGGGTGATAGACATTGGGGAGGGTATGGGCTATGGTGAATGCTTTGAATTGTGCAAGACTGTTGAATCACAGACCTGTACCTCTGAAACAAATAATACATTATATGTTAAAAAAAAAAAAAAGAAAAAGATAGCAGGAAGGGAAAAATGAAGGGGGGAAATCGGAGGGGGAGACGAACCATGAGAGACTATGGACTCTGAGAAACAAACTGAGAGTTCTAGAGGGGAGGGGGGTTGGGGGGGATGGGTTAGCCCGGTGATGGGTATTAAAGAGGGCACGTACTGAATGGAGCACTGGGTGTTATACGAAAACAATGAATCATGGAACACTACATCAAAAACTAATGATGTAGTGTATGGTGATTAACATAACATAATAAAATAAAATTAAAAAAAATTACCATCCTTCTCTGCTATAATAACTAAGCTTATCACTCTACTATAGGAACCAATGTTTGGTCGTTAAAAATGAAACTATCAATCACTTCTCTCTTTTCTTCCTATAAGTGGTCAGGTCTTTGCATTGGGGAAGAGGTTTGCCTATGTCCTTGAAGCTGTGCACATACTCCATGTGAGATTATATGAAGTAAAAGGTGACAAAGAGGAGGAAATAACATTTTTGCGCAACTCAGTGATAACCTCCCCCTCACTCTGGAAGGAGCACTGGTTTGCAGGTGTAACAACTCCCTCTTGTGACTGTATATGTGAACTCCTTTACTTAGAACTAGGAACCAAGTCAGTCTAGTCTTTTTTTTTTTTTCTTCTTCAAGGTTTGTGTGTCAGGTCTAAAGATAAATACCTTGTAAATACTACCTCCCTCTAGTGGCAAGGCTCAGTGAAGAGCTTTCTACCACAATACTCTGAGATTAAAGACTGAATTATTTTTATTCAGTTGGGGATTTTAGAACTATCTCTGTGATATTTTTTTCCTCCCAGAAGTAGTTCTAAAAATCTCTCTTAACCAAATTCCTTTTACTTTCCTTAGTGCTTTGTTCTTCCCGTGTTTGAAGGCAGTTGCCAAAGCCCCCATTGTTTGTTGTTTAGTATAAGATTTGGCGGAAAGGGGGCAGAAAAAGGAAATTATTAACAAAGAATGCATTGTTTTATTTTATTTTGTAATTTAATTTATTTTAATTAAAAATCAATAACAGAAAGATCTTTGGGAAATCTCCATATACAATTGGCACTTGGATTAACATGGGGGGTAGGGATGCTGACCCACCACACAGTCAAAAATCCACACATAACTTTTGACTCCCCCAAAACGTAATTACTAATAGCCTACTGTTGGCTGGAAACCTTACTGATAGCATATAACAGTCAATTAACACATATTTTGTATGTTATAAGGAATGCATTGTTTTAGGCAAGGTCACCTTCCTAAGAGGAACAGAGGGAACTCTATCTGGCAGGTTATCTCACCAGTGCTGACCAGGTAATTCCATGTTGACTCGTTAATGGTCACATTCCTGGGAGGTTGGAACTACAGTTAGGGTAGGGATTAAGTTTTGGTTTACTGATGTGGGCGTTAGCACAAATGATTCCATTTTGAGCTTCCTGTTTCTCTCTCTCTCTCTCTCTCTTTTTTTTAACAAATCTAACTGTTAAGGGATCATTTGAGAAACCACTTTGTGGTTTATTTTAACCCAAGATACAAACATAATATCTGGGAATCTCAGGAAACTGTGCTGTATTATACATTGAGCTCAATTATGAGAACATTTTTTTATAGAAGGGAAGTTTATATTAGGAGGGCTCAACTGGGCTACCACACTCCTGCCTTCTTCTTGTCAGTGGTTCATGGGTTTTCCCTAAGTCCCTGAGCAGGTGGCTGCCTTTATGGAGCTAAGGTTTTTGTTCATCTTCCACTATTACTTTTATTACTGTGGGGCTACCAAGAGCACAGAAATACACTGCCGAGTCTGTCAGTTTTAAGCGAGAGATGGTGAGACTGATGGATTTTGCTGCCTTTTGAAAGTTCACAGAGAAGCGACCCTGCTTTGCATTGGGCTTGTTTACATCCTGGTCAATGAGGAAAACCATCTCTCTGCTGGGAGGTCGTTTGTACCAATACAAAGTATAAGAATTCCTCCAACTGGTTTCATACTTGCAGTAAATGGTGACCGCTAGTCCTTCTTGCATTGTTACTGTTTTCTGAGTCTGGATGACTTTCTCAGCCATGCTGGATCCTATGGAGAAAGAAGACAAGGTTGGTTCTCTGAAATGTCTCAGATGGGTCATGGGGAATAGATTAATTTATGACACAGGACAAAGAAAAGAATCACACAGCATTTCATTACCCCATCTCTCTTCCCTCTTAATACCCCTGTCAGTTAGAACTTTCATAGTCCCATTCTTGACCTCCAGGAGGAAGCTGAGGCCCCATGTTTAGGGCCACACTTACTGAAGCCAAAGGAGGCTATGAATGCCCACAGTAGGCCAGGGAAGAGCATGACAGAAATTCTTCTTCTGATTGAAATTTCTCTTGTTCTCACTCCAGTCCAGAGACTGGCCCTTATCTGAGTGACTGAGTGTAGAGTTCCTGGGGCTATAAGATATTTCTGCCCCCAAACAGGAAGTAAGGTTCTCAAATAGGGTGTTACACGGCTCTATTCAGAGACTGAAAATCTATCCCACCACAAACCTCTGTTTTGCCTCGATGTTCTTCTGTAGCGATACATTCGAAAAATGGCTATTATATCCAGCAAGGTACAAAAATGAAGTTTAATTAACTTTTTGTTATTGAATTCTCAATACCATTGTGATGAGAGACTATATTCTGAGTGATTTAAATCCTTGGCAATTAAGTCTTGCTTTAAGATCCAGAATATAGTCAACTTTGATAAATATGCTGTGTACATTTGAAAGAATATATATTCTGTTGGTGGGGGTTAAGGTGTTCTATATATGTAAATTAGGTAAAGAATATTAATTGTGTTGGTCGTATTTTCTCTACGTTTCTACTAAGAGATGTGTGTTAATGCCTGCCACTGCAGTTGTATATTTGTTTATTGATTTTTTAAATCAACAAATTCTACTAGTTTAATTCTACTGATTTATGTTTGATATATTTTGAAGTCATGCTATTAGGTGCGAATAAAAATAGAATTGTTCTCTCTTCCTGGTAGATTGTGTACTTAATCATTTTGAAGCGTTGCTCTGTATCTCCAGTAATAATTCCTAGTTTAATGTCTACTTCATCTGATATCGGTATGGCCACTCAGCATTCTTTTGGTTAGGGACTCCAGCTGTCTTGTTATCCACATGCAACAGAATGAAATTGTATCTCTACCTCCCACTGTATTAAAAAATTAACTTGAAATGGATCCATGACCTCAACATACAAACCCAAACTCTAAAACTCTTAGAGGAAAACATTGATGTGAATCTTTGTGACCTTGAATCGGGCAATGGTTTTAAAATATAACCTCAAAGCACAAGTAACTAAAGAAAAAAATAGATAAGTTAGACTTCATCAAAATTAAAAGCTCTTCTGCTTTGAAAGATACTCTCAAGAAAGTGAAAAAGACAATGCCCAGAATGGGAGAAACTATTTGGAAATCATGCACTTGTTAAGGGTTGAGTATCCAAAATATATAAAGAACTCGTACAACTTAAGGATAAAAAAACAAATAACACAAGTAAAATTTTAATTTTAACAGTGGTTTTCCTAGCCTGCTGGGGATAGTGGGGGTTAAGGTGACAGGGAATGTTACTTTCCTAGATATACTATATTTCCTTTTTTAAAATTTTTATTTAAAGATTTTTATTTATTTATTTGAGAGAAAGAGAGAGAGCAAGGATGAGTGGGGAGAAGGGCAGAGGGAGAGGGAGAGAGAGAATCCCAAGCAGATTCCTCATTGAGCACAGAGCAAACATGGGGCTCCATCCCAGGACCCATGAGATCATGACTGAGCTGAAATCACAAGCCAGATGCTTAACTAACTGAGCCACCCAGGCGCCCCTCATTATATTTCTTTTACATAGTTTTTATTTTCTACGTTGTGTTTTTATTACCTATTCAAAAATCCAAAATTAATTTGGGTCACAATTATTTTCACTACTCTTAGCTGTCCTTTACAAATATTAATTACTTTTTTGGCCCTATGAAGGAGTTGGTTAGGTTTCTTCCCCTCTCATTTAAATCAGTTGTTTACAATAGTTATTATTTTCCTTTCACGAGGGAACATGGGGAAAAACTGAAAAATTTCATACTGTTGCTGATGTATATACAGACCTACGAGATATGAAAGGATTGGTGGTATGTTTGGGCAAAATCTCAAAACTCTTGAGTAGAATCCATGAAGCCTGGGTGTACACTTCAGTCAAAAACTTTCCAGGTGATTTCTGGTGCGTAGACATTCAACAGAGGAGAGAGGCAGAACAGCGTTAAATGTTGTTATCCCTTTCTGTTCATCCTGGTCAATCTTTAGCACCAAAACCAGTGTCTGACACATAGTAGACAGTAAATATTTGTTGAATATAGAACAGTTGCAATGTGAAAAGCTTTGCAGGAATTCCTTTGATTGTTACTTGAATTATATCTTTTATAACCAAGCACCCAATATTTTGAAGATGAATTGTCCAAAGAAGAATGGACATAAATGTTACATGAAAAGTATATTTTAGGGGCACCTGGGTGGCTCAATTGGTAGTGTCTGCCTTCGGCTCAGGTCATGATCTTCGGGTCCTGGGATTGAGCCCCGTGTGGAACCCCAGTGTGGAGCCCCATGTCAGGCTCCCTGCTCAGCAGGAAGTGTGCATCTTCCTCTCCCTCTGCTCCCTCCACCCCCCTTGTGCTCTCTCTCTCTCAAATAAATAAATAAATAAAATCTTTAAGAAGAAAAATATATTTCAAATGTTAAATTGATATGAAAGCACATGCAGACCACCTAGAGTAAAAATATTTGTGGTAAATGATTATCATTGGGCAGCAGAATTTTAAATGACTTTAATTTTTCTGTTACATTTTCTATACTCTCAAGAGTATCCATAATGAGCATGTGTTGATTTTATAATAATTTGTTAAGGCAATATATACATATATGTATATATATATATATATATATATATATATTATTGTTTTTTTTTTTTTTTTTTTTTTTACTGAAAGCCACCCATGTTGGCCACCCAGAAGACTTTAGATCTCTTTGGCACATTATGAAACATGTAGGATTTCAATTAGAGAAACTTAAATACCCCAATAAGGTATTTACAATCTACACATCTACTTAAAACACCACCATTTCTCCTCTAGAATATATTGGAGTTAGTACAAATTGTAGTAGCTCATCTTGAGTCATTGGAAACTGAATTTTTTTATAATCACAATAATTAGAGCTCTGCATTCATTTCAAGTTGGAAACAAACACATTATGGCAAGCCTTTCAACCCCAAACCAGTTCAAGGACAGAGAATGTGACTGGGTCCCTTGCTGTAGGCTGCAGGTGCCGGGGGAGCTCTGTGTGATCACTGCACAGAAATCCAAGGTTGAGTCTCCTGGCTGGGTGGCCGGGATATGCAAGGAGCACGTTTAACTTTTTTATTCAACAGTACCGTGAATCTCCTGTTCTGTTTTCTACCCATATTCGGGGGAATCTCTGTGAGAAGAGTAGGGTTTTTCTCTGCTTCCTTCCTGTACCAAGGAAATAACTCAAAGTCTTCTCTGTATGACTGGTTGATAACAGCCATTTTTCTCTCCCAGACATTCAGGATTGAAGGACTGTGCACCACATCCTTTTTTTGCCCACTCGTCCCTGTTGAGACAATGAAGATGGGTTACTGGGTAATTTTTGAGTTTACATTTTATTTCTAGAGTCTATAGGAAACTTGAGAACCAGAATGACCCTCTTCTTTCCCAGACTTGTGATGGATCCTTTCCAGAAGCCCCTGGACTTAGTGTCAGCATCTATGACAAATCTTGGCAGATAAAAATATTAATAAGAAACATCCTTTTTTTTTTTTAACCAGCTTCCTCAGAATGATACCTAGTGAATAAAAGTGTATGAATTAACATCTCTGACAGGAGTGTCCAGTCATGTCATTTCTAGGAACAGAAAGTAGAAGCCCTGAAAATATAGAATTCAACAATAAGACTACCCTGACTTAAGGATCAATGTTTTCCTGAAACAATCTTACTACTTCAGGAGCCATTGAAAATCTAGCTTCTTGAATTATAGTTAATGTATATAAATTTAGTAATACTATTGTGATTATGTTAAAAAGGAATCTCTTTCTCTTAGAGTACTCCACTTTAAACTTGTAGCTCCACCTTCAACTTGAAGCTGTCCCTGAATTCCTGCCCCAGTGAGATCTCTCTCTACTTGCCCTTGCTCCTCCTCCAACAACAGATGGCTGTTGGTTATTCAGAGCTTGCTAGGCTTACTGTGTGGGTAGGTAGACTTTGTTCTCTTGATCCAGTGTCAGTTTAGACTGATCCATGTACCTGGATCTTGGATGTAGGATTTTCTCAGCATTCCTGCCTCTCCTCCCTGTAGTAGCAAAACACCACCATGTTTCTCTGTGCGTCTTGTACAAGAAGATTTTCTGCCTCTTCCTCACTGTGTAAGCAGAAAGAGTTAGGGGTCCTCAGAAAAAGGGAGATGAGGCACAGCTTTCAGGACACAAGAGAAATCATTTTAGTCCCCCATCTGTTTTTGTGAGTTATGCCCAACGGTACTGCTTGCCCAAGCACACTGCTTGCAGAACTTCGTAAGAGGTGTTGGAATTACAAAAGAATGCAAAAAACCTCCATAGTTAAGGGTTTTAAGGAAACAAAGGGAATGCAAAAACCAGCAGTCTACTAAGCCAGGAGAGAGCCTAACATATTAGAGATGGTAAGTCAGTGGTAAAACTCCCACTGCTTTTTCAAAAGTAAGGATTGACTTAACACACTTTCTCGAGTTGTTTCTGCAGGATTTAAACCCCTTCGAGCCTCAAACACCAGACTGACTGGAGCGGAGAATTGAAGATACTGACCCTTGCTGGCCCTCACGACTTCAATCAACCAGGACCTGGACTCTGTCAACTTGAGGATGGCTTCTGCCACAATTCTGTGCTGAACTCTCTCCTTTGTCAAGTCCTTCATGAATACACATGTGCCCTTAGGTTAAAACTTCCCCAGTTTTGTTGTTTGGGGCTTCATGACCTTGGAAATTATTCTCCATGATCTCCCTATTTACTGCAAATGAAGATTACTTTGTGTCACAACTCCCCCCTCCATGTAGTCTCTTTCTGTAACTCACCAGGGAGAGAACTCATGCTAGTTGATTTACAATTGGTAGGAGAATGATTAACCGTACCGTTACAGGGTTTTCAGCTCAGAATGTTTTCCTGCCCCTCTACCTTAACCAAAGGTAATAGGCTTTTCCCTTGACTACTCACTCTGCTGCAGTGGATCTTGACTGTGCCTTAGGAGTGTGTGTGTGTGAGTGTGTGAGTGTGTGTGTGTGTGCGCGCACGTGTGTTTGCCCATGCACATGCATGCATGCATACAAAGAATTTGTTCTTTATCCCCATGCCCAACAGCCTCA